AGGTTTATATTTTCAAATTAAGACTCCAAATTTCAGCATCATCCGATTTCAGCATCATCCCCGACAGTAATTAATTATAACTGACATTTTTTTACAGAATTTTAAGAAACGCCTCCTTGAACATCAACTTAAAAGCGAGGTTGAGGATAGTGAAAATGAAGAATATGAAGATGAAGACGATGTTATAGATTTCAGTACAGTTTTGTTCGATCAACAGGCAGAATCAAGCAAAGTTAGAGAGGGCTGGACATTGAAGAATGGCAAAGGAGTCAGAGATGTTCTTGTTCATATGACATCAAAGACCATTGAACAAGCAAAGAAACTACAATCCAAAGGAGAACGTTTAGATGCATTCACTTTAAGCACTATACGGTATATAATTTATTTTTCTTGTATTTATAATATTGGACACTAACCTTCGATAATCACATATGTAGGCTTGGACTTTCGTCAATAGTTGACCTTTCTTCCGAATTTTCTGGTGGTATGTGCTCCTGGTTTGGTGAGGAATGGTCAGAACTTAAAGCAAAGGCCTTGGCGCAAATAAACATTAGGCTAAAGAAATTTGAAGACGCAATTGAAAGTGATATTAACAAAATCGAAGAGGTATAAAATTTATTTATACAGCCGACTATGACTATAACGAACCTCCATATAACGAATTCTGGATATAACGAACTCAAAAATTTAAAATTTCATAGTAGTTCTGTATAGAAAGTGCCATGGGTTCTTAAGAAAACATAGTAATTTTCTATAACGAACTTTTTTTTTCTTCCAAAACCGTTAGTTCGTTATAGAAAGAGTTGACTGTAATTGGATATTTATATGTATACATAATTGAATCCTTTTTCTCAATATCTAGCTTTGTAGTGAATACAAATACTGGGATGCAAGAGATTTTGTATATGAGAAGTTAAAGGGACGTCCAACGTCAAGTCATGAAGATCTATTTTTTTATGTATGTAGCTATGTCATTATGCAGTAATATTCACATTAGTTATTAAACTGATTTTAATTTATAATTAGTTTAGAGATGTTTCTAACGGACCCCTTCATTTTTGTGGATAAAGAAGGAAATAAACAAAATTTAACAGAAATTGAATTTGTGCTCAAAGTTGCAGGTCCAATAATGGATATAATATTTTCCGATGTTCAACATCTTGTTCATCTTAAATGGTAAATATAGTTTTCTCTAGGAGGTTTATCAATTATTGTTTCTAATCATAAACACTTGCAGGGGAGAAACGGTTTCAAAAGCAACGGCAGTTGGAAGAAAAATAGACTTACAAGTTATATGCCGAGGAAAATATCAAGGAAAAATTGTGGAGCTTAGCCATTCCGAGTGCGCTCGTAGAACAACTTCTGCTAAAATTATTAGTGATCGCAGTAAATGTTTGAGAACAAATAAATCTGTTCTTAATAACTATCTTTCACATGATCTGTCCGATGAAATAATCAAAAATTCTGCAGTCATTGGATTGCAGTTAGCAGGTATGACTTTAACACATATTACGCATTGTATTATGTTTCATTGTTATTTATGCTTTTGGTTCTATTTTATTACTTAGCTCTATATGGTCAAATAATTGGTGTTGACTTATTAGATAATGGATTATATTTCGGGTTTGAAGGGCCAAAATTAAGGTTTCCTGCTCAAATCAATGATATTACTGTTCTGAAAAGAACTTTGGAAGCATTATATTTCTTTAAGGTATGAAACAAGTTATAGAGCTCATCCCCAAAAAATTTTCCCAACACATGATTTGGCCAATCGTATTACAAAATCGGGTGTAACGTGAAAAATTTGGTCTATGAAACTATCTTCTGCGCTCTAGCAAAAAAAAAAATTTCTCGCAGCATTTTAAGCCCTTTTCTAGTCCAAACCCTAGCTCTACAATAGTGGTTTATTGCTTTAAATTGGTCAAAATCACGTGTGAAGAAAATTTCTTGGGATGAGCTGCGTAATTTATTTATAATGGATTATTTATAATGCCTTTTAAATATTAGGAAAGCATTGTTCGCAAAGCAGAAGCACTATCGTGTCTTAATAAGGACTCAGATCCCTTTAGTAATATTTTTCACACTGAAGCAATTTCGAAGCCCCATCACTATAGCGGATTTCATGAGTCCAACTTATTTTACGCCACAAAAAAATAAGAAAAATGAAATAAGATTGTTGTCATTCGATAATCATATTTAGAGTTTAGAACCGGGTTATAGTAAACCGTGTCACCCGTGTCAAAACGGTTGAATATGTAATCTCTAACAATCTGTTACTATTACACAGAAGACATAACAAAATTTAACACATTATAATTGTATTGTGAATAAGCACCCTTTTTCTCTTACTAAATGTTCAATCTCATTAATCTGAATTTAAAAAAAATGTTACAAATTTTGGAGGCTATACGATCGTCGATAACTCATAGAGGGGGATCACTAACATTCCGGGTCGGAATGCATCAGAATCCTGGCCGGATGTGCCGGAATTGATTAATTTTGTCCAAGATCACTACTAATGAAGTCATAGCCAAGTAAAAATGCCCGATGTAATTAATTTTATAATCTTAACCTTTTTTGGTGTAATTGATTATCTAACTAAAT